CACTGCGATTGGACCATAATGACCTCGCCGGGGAAAACCATCAAGATTGTGGTGATGGAATTCTACACCGAGGCCCCGTACGATTCGTTGGAGATTGGCTCTGGGACACGCGTTGGCGACGTTTCCACTGTGGTAACTCCCGATGCGCAACCGTTGACCGGGAACCTGGATACTCCATTCGAATTCATGACAAACTCTCATATCCTTTGGGTGAGATGGACAACCGATGGACACAAAACAGCTCCCGGCTGGACAATTGAGTTTCAAGAGCTTATAGAAGGTAGACACCTCATCTACCAACTGCCACTCAATTAATATTTGCTTTACTAATATATAAACAAATCTTTCAAACTACTGTGGAATACTTTATTTTTGCTGGAATTAATTTTCGCTGAAAAGGCTTTTTGGGCGTTTTGTATGGAATTTATTTTCACTGATTTCTGATGAGTTTAATGTGAAATATAGGAAAAAAAGTATATTCGCTGGATTTTATTTTCACGGAATCATCCCTTCAGCGAAAATAGCGAAAATAAATTCCAAGCGAAAATAAAGTATTCTACAGTAATTAATACTTGTGCTTTAAAAGTCGGTATCTGTAATGGTTATTTAATTTGTATGATTGTCATAATTCTTCCACGAATGAGCTAATGCTATAATCATAGTGGGGTTTCTTCTTAACAACACGTGCACCCTTAGAATATTCCTTTCTTATTATATTCACAGCCAACCCATGCAATTCCAATCCCTGTGATAATGGCGGAACTTGCACAAATCAAGGAACTGACTACCAGTGTACATGCGTCGATGGCTTCACTGGCACAGACTGCAAAATTAGTAAGGGGTTGCTTGATATGATTGAAATTTTTGATTTCAAATGTCAGATAAATAAGTTAGATTGCTTAGTGTATGCGTCAGTCAGTGTAAACCCTTACCCTTCAAATTCGGGGGAAGTGGACACAAGGAAATCAAATTCCCGAGGAACTACACAAGTAGCGAAAGTATGGTGCAACTGCATATAGTCCCCGGCATACCTTCAGACTTTATGTAGCTATTGCATAACTAGAAAGGTTACTAAACAAGAACTGGAACTGAAAAATGTCAGTCTCTCTGGCTAAAGTTTACATGTCGTTGTCGTGATATTGGCCATATATTTGACCAGCGACCCCAACTGTTGGCAAAGGAGTTTACAATGGCTAGCGCAAAGCGCTTGGTTTAACCACAATGTGACAGACTGACAATGATATGTCCATGCTGCTGTGAATTATGTATGATTTAACTTGTGTATTAAACTAGGTACTCACTGGATTCCTAAAATCCCATTCATCTGTGTGATTAACATTATAAATCTTCGTTTCATACACGAAGTGATCGGATATACCTACTGCAACAAATGAAACCGTACTTTTCCTTCGTCTTCGTTGTTATGTTACGTAGCACAGACCATATTAAAAACATCCTCGTTCAATTTTTTCGCAGGGACAACATGCAGTTTCAATCCGTGTGAAAATGGCGGTACATGCACCATTGGAGATGACAATGCCCTACTTTGCACATGCGTAATTGGTTACACCGGAAGCACGTGTGATGAAGGTGAGTCCACTTTTGAATAAGCAAATCTCACATTGATTCCTACATGAACGACAATGTTGACAATAACTTACATCGCTGTAAAAGCATATAGTGCCACGTACTCTAAGTTGTATACAAAGCTAAACAGTATCAATATTTTACACAAATATTGGAAAAGTTGGTTCTGCTTAGTGTCTATTGTGTTTCTCCCCTCACAGCTGTTTTTCTCAATTGTTTATCTGGTAGCGTGTTTAATAAAACCATGGAACTTTATAGTTCCATGATAAAACCAATATAAAATACGTGCGTACAAAATAAAGTGAACTATGTTCCCAGGTACTTATGTAACCCTCGCCCATTCAGACATGTTCAGGCTGGTAACACCACGCAATTTGTAACTGATGACGATTAATCGCCGTTGTCCATGCTTCGTAACAGTTGTCTCGCATTTGTCACTGGTCCTGGCCGTGAGGTTAAACTACATATTGTTTTTTTTCTTCTGCAGTGTCATGTGGGTCGCGAAGCTGTGAAAACGGCGGAGTGTGCGTTTCTTCTGGTGGCAAGAGCTATTGCGATTGTACCAGTGGGTTCACCGGTGATTTCTGCGAGAATGGTGAGAATTATATTAGGTTTCATCTAGCGTTAATAGCATATAAGTGTATTCTATACAACTACAATATAACAAAAAGAAGCAGTGTCTGCTATCCCTAAAAAAACAACATGTCATGGACATAATGACACGGACAAGTTGTACATTTTCCCATTCAAATGTAATACATATTAATTATTTTCAACGCATAATATTTTCTATATCATTTTGGAATATATTATAATGTAGTGTAATGTAGAGTAGTCCACAGAAGGCAAATCATGTCTCTTTACAATAGTATGGCATACACTGTTCTTCAGAATGGACACGATAATTGTTGTTTTATCCACTAACTACGATATATCTCTGTATTTCTGTGAACTAATACGTATATCAGCATCTTCATGCCACACAATTGTATCTTCTATACTTGTCTCTACACTTTTCTGTATTACTTGCAAGCTTACATAAATGTCACTGATTGTTCGCAAAACCCATGTCAAAATGGTGGGAGTTGTCTAAGTGACTCTGACTCTGATTCTGAATTTGAGTGTAACTGTACTGCCGGATTCGAGGGACCATATTGTGAAATCGGTAATTTGTTGAATCTTTTTTATGCATGGGGCATAATGGTTATCAATGCAACCTCGTTCGCAGCTGAACTATTCAGGCTGTGTTGTTAACGGTCGATGCAAGTTTTTTTTTTCTCAACACCAGATATAGGTGACGTAATTTTAAAAATATGTGCCGGAATTAAAAAGAAGAATAAGACAAATTCGTCACGTTTAAAGTGATCGACAGGTTATGAATAGGTGATCGACACCACACCCCCGACCGAGTTTCTTGCGTGATCTTGCATCATCGTGATTTTCCATAGCAATACAGATATTGGTGGCATGTGGTTGTGGAACTTTTTTGTATAATAGTATGTATGTATGTATGTATGTATTAGAGTGTTTTGTTTAAAATATTACTTTCAAAACATTCAAAAGCAAACAGTAATACAAGAAACAAACAAACACACACTCTTTTTGCACACGACACTTTCCATTGAATTAGCAGACTACTTTCACAGTTAATAATGAATTCCCGTGGGGTTTTAGAACTACACGCGAAATTAATTCAAACTAATATTATTTTATTTACATATTCAGATATCGACGACTGTCAAAGCAATCCTTGTGAACATGGAACATGTGTCAATCTAGTTGGTAGCTTTTCGTGTACATGCGAGTCTGGTTATGAAGGACCCACGTGCAACACAGGTAAGCTATTTTTCAATATGGCGATTGATTTTTACTGAGGATTGCGGTCTAGTTTAACAAATGAATAAATAGTATCCGGATCGCCACGAGACTTCGATATACGATATTTATATTGATATTATTTTGTAAATTGGATTCAAATGTTTACGCTGTTGTCATACATCAAAACATAAAAAAAATCGATGATGAATAACAAATAAATTTGATATCTAGCTGACAACTTACTATGCACAACATTATTCGAATTTATGATGTTGATAAATTGATTCCGTGCTTAGTTTCAGACATTGGAATCGCTGAAAGTTCAACCACGGACACTATGGAGCCATGGCTGATCGGCGTGATAGTAATTGCCGTTGCCGTGGCAGCACTTCTCCTCTTTCTCATCTCCCTCGTCGTGTGCATGCGCAGAGGTCCCTCGTCGAAACGGTTTGGTCATCCGGGTCGCGACAATTGGAAAATGCGCAACTCCCTCTCTAACGAATCCTACGACACCCACTCAGGCGACGGTGTGCACGTTGAACCGACAGAAGTTGCCACGATATCGAAAGGAAGGTCTTTATCTAATGGCAGTCCGCACCCACAGCACAATTATAATGCCGGATTTGAAGGGGATAGTGGGACGAGCAGTATTGACGTTGGCGGTCCAGTATGAATGTGTATAAGCATTGAATGAATTTGTATTTTAATTTTGTACAGTGTATTTATAGGGTGATGATTTAAGATTTATGACACACATCGTGTATTTTTTGTACAATAATTTTTATAAAAAAAATCAAGGTGCCACAGTTAGTATTTATAGTCTCTGCATTGTTTAGATTCATCTGCGTAAAGCCTTGGCATCTTTATTTTTTTCTCTGCGAAACAGCAGAACTTTCTTTCACCTACTCGACTGACTAGGAAAGACGAGTGGAGCATGGTTTTGATGTTTAAACTTATACCAAGTTATTATATTTTTTCATATTTTCCTTCCATCAAGAGTTTCTTCCAAAATATGCTAAATTAAATTCTAAAATTCCACAACTGCACGAAACGTTTTTTTATTTCAGTGTGCTGCATTTTTTTATATTCCAGAATTGACCATTTCCCCCAGAGCATTATTGTTGCCAATGTTTTAAATATTACATTTTACTATTAACTTGATGAGACACATATTTTAAAAGGGTTCGGCATCGAGCAGTTATGTCAGCTGATCACATCCCAACAATTTCCAATAGTATTTTCCGTTGTATTTATGTAATTTCAATCGATATTGTAGTAATGTCAAAGTGATGTGAATTTGTAAGCATTTCACATTTTCTTATTATTCCATCACGTATGATCGTCGACTTTTCTTTTTTGTGGTCACCTTGTTGCCAGTTTCTATTACTTGCAATATTGTTAACAGTTACCCAGTTTTCTTTTCAATTTTGCATCGCATATATGTATCATTTTTTTGATGTGTGTTTCAGTGTGTGTTCTGCAATAACAACTCGCTGATTCGACAGTGTTGCTGAACTTATTCGCGTCTAAAAACTTACTGAAGATGTCATTTTCTTTCTGACTTTTACTAACTTGAGCCGTCCTACGTATCATTTTAAAGATAAGCTGTCAAACTGTTGAATGTTTTTTTTCAATAACACCAACAAGTTTTGAGAATACTTATTTTGAAACAAATAGTGGCAAATCGTAGAATTTTAACAGAGTTGAATTAATTGTAAATAAACTGGGGGTGATTATTAGAATTCTTGACACTGGATGACGCAGAGCTGCATGCGATTTTAATTTTTTTATGTGATTGTAATTTGTTTAATTACTTGCATGGTAATAGAGACGTTATTTCTCCATTTTGTCATGGAAAGTCGGAACTTCGAGTTGAAAGTGCGTGTGTCTAATTTGACAGTTTGGAAAAAAGTTTAGAAAATAGCCAATTTAGAAATATTTCTCAATAAATAAAATGTTTTTAAAACAAATGAAAAGCTTTATTATATTTTCGATGAATGGCAGCTATTTTGATTACATGTATAAATGGAGGAAGTTTGGGTTAAAATTGAATTTAATTCAAGATCTATAACACCTTTATTACTGTCCACTTGTAATGTCTAAGACCTTTTTTACAAACGGGGGGAAAAAACAAACAAGCAAAGAAGAGGTCATTGACATGTTTAGCAAATTGTTTTTTTTTATTTTGATCGATATTCAAAGATTTCATCACGTATGCACCTTGATACAAATGAGCTTCCATGATTTAATTCTGTATAATAATTCTTATTTAAATCGATAATAAATTTGTGTCAGCTTTATACATGTCTCTTCATTATTTGCATGGAAAACACTGGTTGCTACTGCACGAAGAATGTCTAAGTGTGTCGTACAAGAAGATATTCAAGTGAATGATATTTGTCGAATTATTGATATACGTACGTGTTCGAGTCGATAAATTGTATCTGACATTCTAAAAAAATAACGACACTTCTAAATAAAATTCAACTGGCGATTGAAAACAACTTGCAAATTACAATATACATTTCCATACAAAGAGTTCAAGCCTCCCGCAAACTAAAAATAAAACGCATTAGCTTATCTATGACCAGGAGCACCGCTTGTGAATACGAAATGATTAGCTTACACCTGAACAAAATGAGGTATAGCTCATGTATAATTGTAAAACGATAATGAATAATGCGCCAGGATAATTATTTAGATTTTTCCACACCCCACCTTCCATTCCCATAAGATAGCCAATCAAATACACCATTTTTGTATATGTATACTGTTTACAAATGTTTAATTTCACAGAACCCTAGTTTATCCAGCACTGTACCCACAAGCATTTTGTTGTCATAGTAACTGGCAACACTGGAACCTTTTAGAAGAGAACCGTCGTCCATGAACACTTGCTGGATATCAACGTTGTCGTAAGGGGCGCTCTTGGAGCCAAGGCGGACTTTCAACACCTATTCGACAAACAACCACGAAAACAAGTATAGGTAAGTAGTATTGAATAACTTAAAACGTAAATTATTATTTCTTTATCATGTTGTACCAGTCGATTCAGATTTAAATTGTTGGATTGTTTTCTGATATAGAAATATCACTATAACGAATTCGCTACCCGCGCCAGCCAAGGTTTATTACTAGACCATTTGTCGTTTTCTGCGAAATCCCGCGTACTAGGACTCCACTTACGCATGATCTGTCTAGCGACGAAATCAAACACAACGGCGCGTGGTATGATGTGTTTTCATGGGAAAATCGAACGCGAAGTTACGTGTTTAGGCAACAACGTCTGTTGGTTTAAATTTGAAATGGACCTAGCTCAAATTATTTAAAGCGGTGGGGGGGGGGGAGTCGTCACCTGCGCATGCGTCAGATGGTCATACCGTGCCACTGTTTACAAACAAGCGTCTACCCATGAGCCTTTGTCTTTTTAGCGTGTGTTGTTATCGTCGCTTGGGACTCAATTCTCGCGCGTGTGCAGGTGACGACCCTCCCGCTTTAATTTAACTCGGTCACGCGCGTAGTGGTGGCGATGGATGGTCGGCTTCAATTAAACCGATGCGACTTAACGGACTGCATGATTTCTTATTTAGTAAACTATAGCATTATACATTACACAATGAGAACATACTTACAAGCGAAGGTGCAGGTATCGTAACGTTTCCTACATGCTGAACAAATTGGTACAAAACAGCGTTGCAACCCAACCATAGATCACCCGTCTTTTTATCAATCTCTATGTTGTCAACACCTGAGTACACGTTAATTCTCTAAAATAAATAATGTTAATCATATAAAAACATCACACATCACAGTTGTGTAATTGCTAACGAGGCGTAGGCGAAATACGCTGGGTGACTCGTCAGTTGCAGCTCTCACCTGCTTTTCTTCAATTGAATTGTCGTTCCTAATTTCGAAGACGTAAATGAAACCTCTAATAACTGATGATACATACAAATACCTGAATAGAGACAGTAGTTTAATTATTTTATGTAAATGAATTAATAATCCAAATCATGCACTCATGGAAGGTCTGCAACTCGTACATAATTGATCCGGTGTGAAAGAAATGTTTAAATGATTACATCATGGGTTTTATAGGTTTCGAGGAAGTAAAAGCTACGAAGCAACAACTGGTTCGAAGCAACAACTGTTTGTTCGTGTAGTCATTAAAATATAGTAAATCCCTAAAAATACATTATTTCATTGACAAAAGACTACAGCTCGAACCAATATTGACAACGTAAAATACGTCATTAATGAATTGGCAGCAAGGGGCGGGGTATGACGGGTTAGTAAAAATTGTCGCATTATTGTGTACCGGAATTTTCCCCGGTATCGAGCCGATATATACAGAGAAAATATGTCCGAGACCTCGCGAATAATAATTCATAGGGACAATCACTAAAACTGAAGTTGACAATTTTAAATTAAATTACACCTTCTTGTCAATAAAAATATTATTACCAGAATGTACTCGTATGAAAATCTTCCACTGAACACAAATTGAATTCTGTCACTATATTCTTCCAACTTGAATGTCATATTAATCAGTGTGAACTTTTGTCCAAATTTCAAAAGCTGTTTGATTCATTTGTTTAAAAATATCTGTGAAACTATAACTTTAAGTTGTTTTCTTTTTATGGGTACAATTAATCAAACAATTTTATCATCTGATCATCTCCAAACTTGAAATCCGATCAATCACTATAAGATATCAACCAAGTTCAATTTTGGTGTGACCAGCATGTTAAAATATACATGTACAATTGTTAGACATAGAAATCATCAATGCAAAAACGAGGACATATTCATTGCTGCTCATAAAAACCAGATGTAATGATTATGGGGTTTGTACATAAAAAACGTGCCCCTGAGTGTGGGGATCGGTCGGGATTGTTCAGGATTGACTTATTACTAATAACCACATTTCTCGGCCCCGCGTTCAATTGACTAATGCATTAAAAACCCATAAGGTAACAGAAGCACTTCGTCTCTAGGTTGCACGACTTACATAAACTACGTATTACACAGGGTATTGTATTGATATAAAAACGATATAAGCAGTAAATATGATCCAGTTTACCGTCCTTCCGGTGATACGTTTATTCCATTGGCATACTGCAGTCCAGATTGCACAATCTTATCCGTGTTGCCGTCGTAGAATCCCACATTTGTCCACGCCACATCTGCAAACAACTCGACTCGCTTAAAAAATTCCGACATGACAAAATATCCATCATTTGTATAATAAAAGGAATCGGGACCTACAGCTACAACATCGTTTACACTAAAAATAAACATGGTTGAATAATAAATTAGTTGACAAAGAAATTAACATTCTCGAATAGAATGCATGTGACCGAAATGGCTGGCATTTCCAAAAGCTTATGCTAAATCAATGAATTATCTGAGAAGCATGCGTCATGGAATCCACAGATCAGATGGATTTACCTGTATATATTATCTCCTCTAATCGTTTTCAAATGAATAAGCGATTTAATCTTTTCTTCAAACCGAAATATCTCGATGCATTCGTCACCACGGGCGCGATGATTGACAACAAACAGTCTCTTTTCATCTGAAAATAAAAATACAACCAATAATAATGGCAAAACTCGTAGCCCACGATTCGATAGACTCGTATCACACCAGCTTTTTGTCATGATCATACGGCGAAACTTGTAGCCCGTGGTTCGGCACATTAGATTGTATCACGCTTTATCACGTCATATGCAACATCTTTGTTGATAGAGTGGGCAGTAATGCTGCGTTTTGTCATGCTCGTTTCACGTACGATACACTGGGCACTTATTGCGCGAATTATGCGACTTGATTACATGTGGTGATGAAGCACACACGATCTATCTCAAAATAGAGAAAATCAGACAAAATATGGGGAAACAAACTTATTGATACTCATCTTATTATTATATTGTTTTAAATTTATTTATTTCATCATGAAAAGAGTTCTAATTTTTCTAGTGGAACGGGAGTTCATATTGCTATTCTTCTATCTAAAGTTGGTGCCGTGCCAACTGAATATAAATATAACGTTCATATGGACTTTCGCTATTGTACACATTGAATAATGCTGTAAGAGTTATATATGGTGCAGAAATGTAACAATCAAGCTTCACCTGTTTTATCATCTTCATACAAACTAATGCCGTGTGGATAAAAGCTGTCTCTGTCGAAATCACCTTTCAGGGGAAGCTCTATGACGTCATTCTCTGGATGGTTGAAATCAAAAAGGAATATTTTTCCTCTGATATTTGGAGGCATGCGACTCGGATCGACGGTTTCTTTTTTTCCATTTAGCTCCTTTTGAGGCAATAAAATGGTTCACATCAATCTAAGATATACACACATTAGTTTAACCTATAATACGTGTGGTAATTTACATGGTCCAAAATAATTCATTCATAAACACCGATAACATTGTCACAATTATGTAAATTAACTCACCGATGAAATAAACGCCAAACCATTACTAGCAACAGTCACATCTTCTGACCCTTTTTCTGTAAAATGAAATTTTGTTTAAAATTATTTTCGATTCACTTTTGAAATTATGCGTAATGTTGTTTTGTAACATAATGATGCATGCGTTGCTGGTGATATCGTGAATTTACATTTGGTGTGACTGTATTATAATAGGAATCAATCGCTTTAATTATGGCATCCCTTAACATGGGCGTTGGAACATATATCAGAATACTAGTATTTCCGACAGAGCAGAAATTGCGGCTCTGTGGGTGAACATGGAAATGTTAGAAATAAATATATCCTAAATTACATTACACTCCAACCTACTAATCCACAAGGAGGAAAAACATTTTGTTCTCAATTGAAATCAATTTTGAGTTTATAATACGAACGTTTCATAGGTATACTCACCAACGCCAGGCACAGTTCGACAAAAACCCGGATGCTGTTTGTATACTACCTTAAAGAAGCCTAGCAAATATCTGAGAAAATTACAATTAAAAAACATGCAGTTTTTTATTTGTCAAGATTGTATGTGGTGCATATAACGCATGAGTAACCCTACAATATAAGATTTATTGAACGAATGTCATTTTTTCCGAATCTTTGACGAGACACATATGAAAATATACACAAATTTAATAAATATAACATTGTAGGGTTGCGAATCTCATATCATATTTATCAAATGTACCAAATTTTCTAAATCCTAAAAATTAACGTAGTTTGTGAGAACAAATTTAAAAGCGCGTTCCGGCTCATTTGCGTAACCGATCGCTGTTCATAAACACTGATTACAGTTTTTTACCATTATTGCGAAGAAAAGAATGTTATTTCTAGAGTCATCACTATATTTACGGTTTGGGGATGCATTGGAAACATAATTATTAATTTTAAAACCAAGTCAACCCATGGCCGTTCCACATATTATACGTTTACCACTACCAATATACGAGTACAGCTTATAGCACACAAATGTTTTTGCCGACAACTGAAACTAACATAAATATTTAAAAATGTTGGGATTTCGCGATCACAGGACTTTCGCGTTCACATCTCGTTTACGCACTTTATAGTATTTTTCATAAATGTTTTCATGATCGCAATCGCAACAGACTGCAAATCGTGAAGATTTTGATTCAGGAGACGTAAGCCTCTGATTGTGAGGTCAGAGACAGTATTCTCGGGGAAGGCATCCGGGCATTTTCACTGCCTGGCAACTATCACGGTGAAAACGTTTTTTTAACAATTGCCGAAAAATTCCGGTACTTTGAGATTGTTGTTGAGGCTCCCTTGAACAGTGTAATGAGATTACCCCTGCGTGTGCAGCATATATAAATTTGGTTGTTCAGGATTACTTCAAAGTTGAGTTTGTGTTGTTTTCTTGACTTTAGCTGTTTTCACCGGCTCCTTGACCGGAGTTCCACAGCAGCGCGCACAGAGCCCATATACAAATACATGGTACAGTGGTAAGCGACTTAGCAACGTGGAACGTCTTGTGACGTAACTCCGCCCGGGGTTACAAAGAAACCATATTATTTGAATAATAGGGTCAAATCAAGGTCACACATACATGACTACTAACTCAGCCTATTACATTTGCGTTTCTCAATCCCAGCTGTACACACAACTAGCGCTCTCCTCCACTCCACACAATGCGAATCCATGACGAGGATTGCCTGATACTCACATTGTTTTAGCTACATGGTTGAGCACCAACGCCAATATTACAAGAAACACTACGCGGAAGAGCATGGCTGGTATATGCACAGAT